TTCGATTTTATCAGACCTTCAAAAAAAAAAAAAAAAAAATCAGAATTATTATACTCCTTCAACTAAAGCAGTGATTCCGATTTAAGAGGTGCTTGACATCAATGAAGTCATACATAGCTAAGTGTGAAATACTTTCAAAGGGCACATGTCCTAAGCAATATTATCAATACAAATATCTTAGACCAGTCATAACATCGGATACAAGATGCCTTGTAGAAGTTGAAGCGAAAAAGCTGATGATTCTCATGATCATGGCCATTATGAACCACGCAGGACTGCAGAGATCGATATGGCACATGATTGTTATGTGGGCTTGAACGCCGGAAGTGATACCGAATAATGTGCACCCTTTATGACGTCAATGTTGTGTGTTGCTGGAATCTCATCTGTCGATATTTGGTGTTGTGTTTAATTAATGAATTATCAAACCATACAGCAATGATCTTTCTCATCAATCGAAATAGTATCTATGCTATTAAATGCTAAGGTATTGAAATTCTGGCTTAATGAGCCTACCAATCAAAGGTTTGTATCCGGCACACAACATAAGTTAAGATCCTTCACTACAGCAGTCAAGGCATTCCAATAACGTAAGGTGCCATTTAAAAACGGAAAAGGGTATGAACCCATTCCCCACTCCCAGGTATCGCGTCTGCTAGACATGAGTTCGCTGACCACTCTGCACTCGATTGTGAAGTGTTCAGTATAACAGAGCGTATCTTTACTTCCAGGATATTTTCCATTAAATTGTTTCCGACATGATCGATCATTAAGTTGAAACGAATTATGTATTTGCATTGGAAGCAAAGACCTTAGAGCTCCCAGTAGTGTCAGTCGCAGTTTTATCTATCCTGTGCAAATGGTTCAGTATCATGTGTGGGATCAACTCCAATGCCTGTTCTCCAACTGTCACCGGCAAATGTTAATTGTGAAATAATTTTAGAATTGAGCATATTATACAACTTGGTTTTAAAATTAAATTGTTTAGAGTTCCATATTTTGTCTAGACTCTAAAAAGCTGCTGTTGCCTTGGTAATGGGTATCATGATTAAATCTTTTTTGTTATTCTGCAATCAGAATTGATACATATTTCATTATCAACGTGTAGCAGGTCCTTTGTTTAACGTCGCTCTCATCACGCCAGCTTTAGCGCCCCCATAACTTTCTTATTCAAGGAGTCACTTATATCATTTGCCCATCTTCATGTTAGTCCCTGTTCCTCCTTTTTGGTACCATGCCTTCTGTTATTATTAGTTCCAATACACTGGCGAAAAAATTATTTTAGATTCAGAGACTAGGTGCTAATTATTAGACAATTATTATTGATGTTCAGATATTTTTGTGTGTCAGTATGTCTTCAATTGTATTCTGAGAATTTTCTATAACATTTCAGCTTAAAAGACCCCTTTCATTCTTAAGATCCAGGAGATAAGTTGCTACAGGGAAGATGCATGCTCTCAAAATTGTGACTTTGATTTCCATGCTGGTACTTGACCTCAGACAGTTAATGCTATTTAATCTCTGTATTGCTCTGACCATCCTCCTGTTGACTTCTGTCGAACAGTCTCCATTGCTATTTTTATAGAGACTACATATTCAAAATTTGAGACATTTTCTATTTTTTAATCATTTTTTATTTTTATTTTGGGGTAACGGCTAGTTTTGTTTTTAAACATTATTTCTGTTTTCTTGGAACTCAAGAATAAGTTTAGATCTTCACTGTGTTTTGGGACAGTCATGATTGAATGTTCTATTCACTTTACATTGTTGGAAAAGGAGAACTGCGTCATCTGCATAATGCAGTTTCGGAATGGGATTGCACTAATTATGAGCGGATAATAACTGTCACAAGTCTGGAGAATTTTAACATTTCTCACGTTTATTGAAAAAGCATTGTGAAAAAATGCACCTATGGCTCACTCCCTTCTGCCCCTCGAACCAATCCGAATGTTTTACCAGCGGCTGTGATGGTTGTTGGTGGCATTCGTGGCCTAGGCGTTACGAGTCCGACTCGTAATTCCAATGTACCGCGATCGAAACCCACTGCTGGCTTCGTTCATTTTAATCATGGAACGGGGCGTCGCAGGTCGACCCAGCCTAAAATGGGTACCAGGATGGCTGTCCTGGGGAAGTAAAGACCACCGGCGTAATGCTGACCACGTTACCCACCTAGTGCCGATGGTCTGTATAAATAAATATGGGTGCTCTTCTCATATACCCTGTCCGCCTGAAGGCGTGATAAGAGATCTTCACTACTCTTTTACTATGATGGCTGCTTGTTGTTCAAGATAACAACTTTCCATTAAATTCACCAAATGAGCAAGAAACCCCACACTTGTCAGGATACTCCCCAGTTTCTATGTTTCACGCAATCAAATGCTTTGCTATAATCAACGAAACAAGCAGGGAGTTCTGCGTTGTATTCTTCACATTTTTCCAAGAGTGATGTCATCCCTACTTCCTCTACCCTGTGTGAAACCCGCTTGAGCTTCATTTAGCTCCTATTGTAGTTTGATATATTATTAGATACACTAATTCTTGTTGTCGCCTGACATATCCTTGATCTCCAATTGACGTCATCTGTAAAACAAATCACCAAAATAGAATTCATTTTCGGACAAGACTGCACGTGTTTTTGCCTGTCTTTCTTTTCGTTTGTATGTCTGTATCTCAGTCTGAGTTTTACATTCCGTAACAATTATATTTTCTATGAAAGGCGAACAACGGACCCGTCCGCTTTTTTTTTCTTTTTTACAAACGTATTAAAATAATATGAAACGTTGGGGCATAAATTGAAAAAAAAAATGGAAACTATTACGATGCAGAACTGAGCCTGGGATTGCTGGTCCCATCCCAGCAGACATTCAAACGTCCTGATGCTTTGCGGGCAAGTGGTAACTGTCCCTGAAGAGGACTTTGGTTGCGGTTGATATCCTGTTATTAGCATTCACAGAACGGCTCCTGTCAGTGTGGAACAATTTTCCTTATTAGATTTGAAAGGTTCTGGAAGACTAAAGTAATAACTAATAATCCAGCCGGCACGACTACACAAATGTACGTTAAAAGGTCACACATTTAAACAAGTCAATCATTTCAAATCCTTAAATTTCATTTTAAGCGACATAGTGTCCTGATCTGAAATCATGCACAGGATTGCCGAATACAACGTGAGTGCTTGCGAAACATCAAATGTTATTGAGATCCAACAATCTTTCACGTAAAACTAAATATTCGACTGCTCAGAGCACAGCTCTAGTACTTTTACATATGGCTGTGAAACATGGACCTTCCCAGCTGAGGTTGAAAAGAAGATACACGCATTAAAGATAAGTTCTTTCTGAAAAATTCTTGGCATACCACACAGTGACCACATCAGAAATTTATTAGGTTCGCCATTTAATTACCTAGGATATTGTCAGCTTCTAACCACTTTTAATTGCAGCGAAAAAGCGCGAAATGCTATGGTACATGCGTGTAATAAGATCTAACGGCCTTTCATAAACAATTCTATAGGGCTTAGTAGCTATAGGGCTTTACTGAATGGACAGGCCTTAGGCATGCAAAATTAGGTCTATCGCCTCTGATCGCTATGGGTGAAGGGTCGAAGGAGCTGATCAGACAGTCAACAGCTGTTGGTGACCAAACAATAGGTAGTGTTACGGAATGTTTATTATGATGGGGATAAAAAGGTCTCAACATATTAAATAGTTCAACAAATGTAAACGGCAGACTTGGTGTGGAAGTATTTCTCTCTTAGTATTTCCGTCTTTCATGCTAACACTTTCTGCAAATGTAAAGCCCCTTGTGTTTACATGGAAGCGCATGTACATGTAACACAAGCTTCAAATCTCATGCGAACGCGCCTGCAATATTACACGAAAATTCATATCCTTTAGACGCTAGAGGGTTACACAGGGACACCTTCTGCTGTCTACTATTCCATAGTCGTTTACATTGACGACCGGGTCGCCCATTAGCTCACCGGTAGACGACTTCGTCGACGGTTGACGACTTCGTCACTATTTGACCATTTAGTCGCCGGTGCGGTCAGTATTGGCATTTTTCTCCTTTGATTTCATCAAACTGCCGAAGTTCTTTTCATAGCTCTTGGTGGCGTGCGATGCGAAGCTATTTATCTGACGCAAATAACATAATCATAATTATAACCTAAAGGTCCCTCTTCGGGAATGCTTATTGAACGTGACGATTTGTTTGTCAGCACAGCACCTACCTAGCGCCTGTAGTCGTTAACATCAACAAAGCATCAGTACTTCGCTCTTCTTTCGTGCTTACGCTACCCGCACACCAAAGTCTCCTGGGTTTGCCAAGAAGCAATGGTAAATCTTCTTTAACCTTTAGAACTCTTAAGGTTCAAAGCTGCAGACATCATCCGCCTACAATAATCTCCGTGACTGAATATTTTAGTGACAGTTGGGGACCACAAATGTTCGCATGTACGCATGCCTTTTATCTCCCTGCCATGTTCTTCTTCGGCTTCGCGACGTGTTTGTCTGTCTGTCTGTCTGTTCGTCTGCTATAAATTTAATTCCGGATGTACCCTCCGCACGTATTCACAATGTCACAAGAGCCTGTCGTTTAAATAAAATTATGAGAAAACAGAAAAAAAAAATTTGCACAGCTTATTTATTGCCTGAAATATTTTGCGGTATCTAAGTAGGTACATTGATGCAAAGTTGTATCAATATGCAACACTCTTATTACGTTGCTTCTGCTTCATTATATTTTAATGTAGCTCTGCGCATTGCATTGATTGTGTCTTTATACTTTAAAATATATACTACATTATTTTATCCTAAGTGGAATACAAATGGAGAACTATTACTCTGCATTGTTCACAGTGTAGGGCAAACTGTGCCGTCTAATCTGTATTCAATCTGCTGTTTGCATTTTTTAAAAATATACTACAGGACAACATTGTTTTCAATATCATTTCATCCTTAGCAAATGGAACACTTTTATTCTGACTTACTCCACAGTGGATGGAAAATACAAATATCAGTTCGGGCTCTCTTGTATACGTGACAGGCAACGTGACAGCCTCCGCAAATGGAGTACCCGACTCAGCGTTTGTGGTGTTCGCCGTTATACTGACAGTGATTTGGATTTTCGGAACCTATTTCAACTTGGTCTGTATGTTTGTATTCTTGACGAACCGTGAACTTCGAACACATACCAATAAATTCATCTTTGCACTCAATACGTGCGACTTTTTAATTTGTTCTATCGGTAAGTAAACCGTGCGTGGCCATGTTACAGCGGTTTTTCTTTATGTGGGCACATACTTCTGACAGAGGAAACACTTGAAAAAAAATGTGGAAAAGGGGGAGGGTGGGGGTGGATTCCTCAGAACGTTTCCTTAAAAACAAAGTTGTGGAGGAAGGCGGAAAGGGGGGGGGGGGGGGGATGGGAGTGGGAGGCTCTTAAAATGTTCCTGTATAAATGGTTAGGGGCGGCGGAAGGGGGGGGGGAAGGGGGTAGGGTCAAAGTAGCCTTGGTTAGATTTAAATGCTGTTATTATAATAATAACTTTCTAAATGAAAAGTAAATACACCAGTATACTAATGTTCATGAGTCACATCTTGGTCAGATATGACTTAACTACCGTATAACAGTAGCCGTTACCACCTGTCTTCTGCTACGCCGAATGTTGGGCGGCGTATAATAACCCAACATCCCATATTGTGCCACCGGCTTCCGACAAAGAAACGCATTGGGGAGGATACTAGCCTTATCCTAGAAAGAGGAAATGCAACCTGAAAACATTATGTTATGGCAGGGCAGACCAGGCCCTTATCCTTTGCTGGCAGCTGGTCTAGAAAGGAAGCTTCGACAGGCGGGCAGATAGAGCACTGCTCTTCTTATCCGGCAGCTTCTGCAGCCTGCTTTGTTCCAAACGTACTGTTATTACATTTCCTTTGGAGTGAACAAGGCAGGTAGAGAGAGGAATCGTGATGAATGGGCAACAAATGGTCTCTACAATACTGCCCAGGCTTTGAGCAATGGAGAGGAGGAACTTCATCCCTGGCCGTAATTGGTCTCAGAAACAGATCGAGAGGCAGCAGTTATCAGTTGAAAGTCCTTGTCAACTGACGTAGACAAGTTACCTCTGACGGTGGGAGACATCTTCGAAAGCTCACTGAGCCACTACCACCCGCCTCAAGTGGGGAGGCCTCCAGCTATTAAGGTGGTGATCCGTCATAGCCTGTATGCTTCAACGGTTGCTTGGAGTTGGACAATATCCAAATCGCAGGCTGTAAACCCCAGTGCACCAGGCAAAAATAAAAAAAAAATAAAAATAAACGTTACTTCAAGCTTCGACTTGACTCTTAGAAGGTGAGGACCATATATATATATATATATATATATATATATATATATATATATATATATATATATATATATATATATATATATATATATATATACAACACCAGGTTAAATATTTACAAAACTAAAGACCCTGAAAAGTGTTTTGAGTTCCAACAAGAGCTCGAAGATGCGTTCACTGGTATCCAAGATAACTCTACGGCATGCCTAAAATGGGATGTAATTAGGGAGACTGTTTACAAAACAGCTGCATCAGTCTATGGGGTTGGAGAACATAGAAGGACTGGTTTAAAGCAAATAGCCAGACACTCCAACCCTTAACTGACAGCAAAGTTGTAATACTTCTCAGAAACAAGGAAAAAAAAATTAATGAATTGGGAGAAGCAAGAAATCATTTACAAAAGGTATCTAGGCAGTGTGCCGACGACTACTATATCCAGTTATGTGAAAGCATTCAATCATGTCTACTTGCTCCTACACTCTTTGGAATATACTTCTCACCTCTTTTGGAACATGCCTTCCCAGATCAGGAGGGTGGTAATCCATTCTCAATCTGACGGCAGTCTTACAATGCTCGTTGCTGAAGGCCAAAACTATAATGTGAAAGATACTTAATCATACAGCTGCTGTTTGCAGATGATGAAGCAATAACAACCCACTCAGAAGAGGAGCTGCAGTGTTTGCTATCTGCAATTGCTGATGCATGCTGTGAATTTGGACTAACAGTCCGCAAAAAGAAGACCAGGAAGGATGTCCACAGGATATAGCTGACTTCGTGAATATGAAAGTACATGAGGCGGGAGAGCTGGCGAGAGACCAAGTTTCTTTCAGGCAGACCGTGATAAGACCTACGTTCTGCAAAGGACCTGCTACACGATGATGTTAATGATTCGAAATCAAGAGATGAGACAACAGCTCTTCAGAGAAACAATCAGCAGAGGTACTGCATCAGATGAATGCCAAGTGTGCAGTGAGGTCGACTGTGATAACATTACATGAGGTGCATTCAGTTAACACTTTCCTATGACAGTCTCCATACCTGAAGAGAATGATGCAGCGAGAAGTGTCTGCGGCCTCTGGGTGCCACTCGTGACCTGGAAAAAGGCAAAACTACCAGACGACAACGGGTAGCATCAGTATGGAGACTCTTCGCTGGCTGTTGAGGAGCTAATGTGAGCTTGTCATACATGCTGGCATGTCGAATCTTTACCCAGATGACCCCAGATAGGATGATCTTTCAGGCTCGGCGTCTGTGGGCCAGGCGTTGCGGACGCGCTTCGTAATACCGGAGTGTTGGGTTCGATTCCAGTTGTAGGCGATTTGGCAAAAATCGGCCTTGCATTGGTTTTCCCAGTGCTAGCGACAGCCGACCGTTTAGTATGCAATGGCAAACTACTGAACGTAAATTTGCCTATAAAAACCACTACAACCAAAAATTGATGAAGTTGATTATGTCACGTTCAGTCAAAGATCCGCAATTAACTTTTTTTTGGGGTTTCTGTGTGTGTCTTTCCCAAGACAGTCCAACATGCGCGTTATCGGCATGGTTCAGAAGATGGCTCTGGGGCTCCACATTCTGCATGCTGGAAGGGTTCCTGTGTCACTTTTTGGTGCTTACGTCCATGTACATTATCTGTTATATATCGTTCCATCGGTACATGGTCGTCTGCAGACCGGTTTGGGTGCCAAAGTGTTTATACAGACGAGATTATGCTGTGTGTGGTAAGTTCATTGATGACTTGTACACAATTTTGTCAAGGCAAACTTGCAAACAACATTGTTTCCAACCGAGTACAGACACGTATAAACAAAGAACACAAAAAAAAAAAAAAACCTTGGGTGATCTAACATTCCCCGCTCCCACCTCAAAGAAATTGACAAGGCAAACAAAAAAAGTGTGTGTTGTTGGGTGGAAAAGCCGCCCTTTCGCTCCCCCCCCCCCTTTTTTACAAACAAATTAGGGGTGGGAGAATTGAAGTCTGATCATCATACCACTCCCTCCCACTTCAATGATTTTGTCTGGTGGCTAATAGTCTCTTTGCCAGTATTGAACAGTGTTGTATATTTCATATGATTTTAAATATGCCCTATAGGCCTTAAGGGGTGGAAAAAGGTCCTTTACTTTTAATAATTATATTTAAAATTACATGACAATTCTGATGATATTATCTTTACAGATGGCTCTGTGTTGATGGGAAGACGAAGTGCATGGGGGTTTATAGCAAAAGCGAATGGATATCGCTTGGTGCAACAAAGCCTGGCATACAATATCACAACGTCTAGTTTGAGAATGGAGGTGGAGGCAGTCATTGCTGCCTTCCGCTGGCTTGAGAATCAGCTGTACACACATTCCGTGATTGTAATTGACTCGCAAAGCAACTTGAGAAAGGTGGAGACAGGCATGCTCCATGCAGAGTGGCGAGCATCACTTCAGAGGTCCCGGGTATTTAGCATCCTTTGGATATTTTCTACAGGTTATGCCGCCGTGTTAGGAAAGGAGCAGATAGATAGCCTGGCCTGTTCTGCACCCCGTGCTGGTGAACTGATAAATGACAAGCTAGATGTCGTAAGGGCCCTTTGCGGCGGCACAGATCATTACCGTCTGAGGAGAGTGGTGTTGCCAGGAGTTACCAGATGATCTGGCCGACGCGCAATACCCAATGAAATGCGAGACGAATATACAATCAGACAGTTACTGGTACAATCGGAATTTGAACTCTTCGCTTGCTTCTGAAGATGGGGACGGAGCGCTTTTGTGAGTGTCCTGAGTGCTATGATGTTGATTTGTTAATTCCAAATTCAGCATGCTGAATTACATACAAACGGTGGCACCAGTGTCGTCTCAACACATCGGCCAGCTGAGCCCTTACCCGGGGAGCTCTGAGAGCATAGGGGCTGCATGCCACTGACTGTTAGTAGTTTTTGCAGTGGCCCCAGCACACTGTTTATCCCCGACACCCATAATGCTGTTAAAACGGCTCGGTGAGAGACCCAAAAAAGGGGGGAGGCGCAATCCAAGTAACTAACTAACCAGCTAACTAACAAGTCAACAAGCCAGCCGGTCAGCAATAAACCTGGCTAAGTGCAACACGATCATTTATTTTACTTCATCTACTTGCGTTCTTGCTTTCTAATGAATACCATATCTGTACACATCATTTCCCTACAATTTTTTACACTTCTTTCGTTTTTTTCTCTGTTTTTCTGTCCTTCTGTCCTTTTTTCTCTCTTTCTTTCTTTCTTTCTTTCTTTCTTTCTTTCTTTCTTTCTTTCTTTCTTTCTTTCTTTCTTTCTTTCTTTCTTTCTTTCTTTCTTTCTTTCTTTCTTTCTTTCTTTCTTTCTTTCTTTCTTTCTTTCTTTCTTTCTTTCTTTCTTTCTTTCTTTCTTTTTGTTTCATCTTTGTGTATGTTTTTGTATCCACTTTCTCTCTTCACACTATTTGACTGTCCGTTTTTCAAGTTTATCTTGTTCTTTTTCGTTGTTAATTCAGTTTTCGCCTTTCGGCTTCTTGCTTTTGCATTCTCACAAGTCTCTATTACTTTACTACTATTTACAAAAGCATTCACCTGAGAATGATCAACACAGGTTAAACCCATTTTCAGCCGCATGCTTCGCCTTGGGATGTCTGTGGGCGTCAGTGCCTCTGTTTGGATGGAGTCGGTATCGACTTGAAATAAATGGCGTCATGTGTGGTCCTGAATGGAATACAAATAACCGGAGGAATATGACGTACATCTACATTGGAATGGCATTAGGTTTAGCTGTTCCCTTCGCAGTGATGATTTTTTCTTACTGCAACATTATCATAAAGGTATTGTTACATCTATGTTATGTTATACTACGTAATGTATTGTCATTTTATTACTGCTCCCCCCACTGCACGTAGGCCATTCCCATACGGGAGGCGTGAGTTCTGGACACCTTAGGAAACACGGCTAGTCATCACGGAAGAGACTTCGACCCCATCATATAGCACCATAAAGTTAGCAATGGTATCAGTGGTACCGACACAAAGAAAACGTGAAGGTCCTCATGCTAATTTTCTATAGCAGGGGCGAAGGAGGCCAAGGGTTTGAGCCTTTTTTAAGTGCTCAACAACAACAAAATAATGTGTTGATGGCAAATAAATATCATAATTTATCAGGATAGGCGTGGGTCTAATTACCTCTTTAGATGGTATATCACAGCTGATATCCAGTTTCATTTCTAAAGGCTGCATATCTGGAGGAACCTCTGGGTCTGGTCTATTTCAAAGAGTTGCAAAATTTTCAGCCCATCTGATCATTTGATCTTTAGTGCTGGTAAGTACCTTCCTCGACTATTTTTGATTGAGCTAGTTGGCTGACTATATTTCCCTACTTATTTCCTTATATTTCTGCATTGGTCTCTCAGGTTATCTTTTGCTGCTATTGTCTCCGCCTCGTGTGCTAAATCATCTAAATATTTCCTTTTATCTGCCCTTATTCGCCTCCTAAATTCCTGATTAGCTTCTGTGTATTTTTCTTGAGCTCTAGCTTTAGCAGCTCTAGTTTTGAAATGGTTTAAGTCTGCCTTTTTACTTTTCCTTTATTCGGTTATTTTAATGGTTTCTGGAGTTATCCAGGCTTCATACTTCCGTTCTTTCCTACCAAAGACTTATGCACAAGGTTCATTACAAATTCCCTTGGTGTGATCCCAGCAGACTTCGGTGCTTACTTCTTCAGCTAACTTCTGCAACACCCGGTACTTATCAGAGACTGTAACTGAAAATTGTTACTAAACGTCTTTATCCTTGAGATAACCTACGCTCTACTAGTTTATATGATTATAAGATGTTACACATCTTTCAAGTTTTAACTTCATTTTACCTGCCAAAAGAAAATGGTCAGTCAATACATTGGCACCTCTAAAAACCCTAATGTAATAAAGGGGATGATCTATTTTTTTGGGTTTGTTTTTGTTTATGCATTTGTGAACAATTTGACTGGCTGTCTCAAGGTCTGGTGATTTCCACAAAAATTTTGGAATAACTCTCCATTTGCTTTTGTTACTCCTATTCCATGTTTTCCATAATCTCTTCAATACCTGTGTTATCTGATCCTATCTTGGCATTCAGGTCACCAGTCAAAATGTTTATACTGCCTCTTCTTTCATCGTTTATTGTATTTTGAAGTTGCATGTCAAATTCCTTCTTAACTGATGTATCCTTATTATTTGTTGGTGCATAATACCGTATTACCGATGTTCACCTTCTGTTTTGCTGTTATAAATGACACTTATTATTATAAGAATCACAGCTTCCCATTCTATTAATAACCTCTCTGCTTTTTTCGATACAGTCGGGGCCACCCCTTCACTGTGAGGAGAATTGTCCTCTGTGTGCCCTAGGAACAAAATATTTTCCCTGAATTTAGAATACTTTCCCCTGCCCTAGTCCATCTAGTTTCACATAATCCTAAAATACTAATCCTACATTGGTTAATTTGTCTTCATACTTCCACTGTTTTTCTACACTGTACAACGTTCTAATGTTCCAGGTGCCACTTCTGAAGGTTTAATAGGTGAAAGGGGGTACGTCGACGATCATACTTCTACTAAAAGAGCCTTCACTCATCTTGGTTGGCTGGTTTTTGTTTTGTTTTTGTTACTCTTCCATTGTTGGTTGGTATGTCCAACATAGCCTGTTGAAATGTTCTTGTAGTCTACTGCCCTTATAGTAGTACAGGCACTGATCGTCTGCAAATAGTAGCTGGTTTGTTGCGTGCGGGTCTAATTCTTCTTCTGGCGAGTTATTTTCCTCATTTTCTGGATTATCTTTAAAGGTGACTTGCTTTGATAATCTGTCTATGTATATAGTAAACAAGAGAGGAGAGAGCATGCATGACAACCTCATCCTTGTACTCATTGTCAACATATCAAGTATGCCTTTTTGTGTTCTCACTACGCTTTGGGAAGAATGATACATGACCATAATGTTTATCAATTGTCATTCTATCCCTAATTCTCAAGAATAGCCCATAGTTTATTTCTGCCTACTCTATCACAAGCTCTTTTATGTCATCAAACCATATATCCTAAGACCGCCTCTTGTTTTCACTTTAAATCTTTTTATGTTTAGCGCATTTATTGGTAGTTGCTCTGGCTACATTCTTACCAGATGACTAAATCATTTATCTTCAGTTTTTCGATGAATTTTCTGCACTGTTGTTCCTTAAGTCTGGTAATATCGTGTCTAGCCTTTGTCTCGTTTGGTTAAGCTGGCGGCCTTTCTTGGACATCATTTCACTGGTGTTAAGTTTACGTAGGTTAGCCTTTGATGCTGCCTTAGTCTGGCACTGGCACTGGTAGCACAGTACTGGTATAAATACGCTGCTGTCAATAACGGGTTTCTTGTGTTTCTCATAGGTATGATTGGATGCCTTTTAACGGTGCTAGTTTTATATAATTGCACTGCCTCACTGGTATCTTGTTTCTCTTTCCCCATCTATTCTTCCGTCGTCTGAGAATAAACTTTCTGAACTGTTCATTCCTTTAACTTGCTTCAGATTACTACCATTCAATACTGTATGTAGCGAACTAGGAATTCTGCTGACTGTTTCGGTGCTAGTCTATAATTACTTTAACTCCTTGAAGCCGAAGAAGTTTTAGTTTAAAGTAGTCAATACGTAAGTGAATTATAGTCTGTTAGACAGTCGGTCAACATTATTTGAAAGCGGCGGAGATGTGGTTTTACAGACAAATGGTGAGAACTTGGCTTGGTCAAGAATAAGGAAGGTGTCCTGAAAAAAACTGATTCACAAAGGGAACTGGGTGACCACATTCGAAGGTGACAATCTTAACTTCTCTGAACATGTCATTAGAAGAAAGAAGAACTGGACTACAAATGACGGTAGGAACGTTGGAGATAAAAAGAGCAGAGTGAGTGAGACAGAGAGTGAAAAGATGCCTTAGGGACAAGACTATAAAAAGAAGCCAGTATGTTTAGTCGCAGGAAGTTTTTTTTAAAATGGACAGAAGGAGTAAAAATAACAAAACTGAGTTAATTGAACAATTATCTGTGATAAAAGAAAAGCCAGATATGTGTACTGTATCTAAGCTAACTCCTGATGAGCTGCAAGGTACCGAACAATGTCTTTGATTAGAATCTCTTCGCGAGACGTGTAGTTATATTTCTGTATAGATCGCTACTACTTATATTCACATATGCTGGTTAATGTTTGTCACTCACAGATCGCAAAGGTCACCAGGAAAATATCGGGAGATAAAAACAGTGCAATTGCAAGAAACAAAATTCAGATGGAGAAGAGCATCATGCTGACATGCATCCTTATTATAAGTGAGTGGACTTTATGCTTTCCCTGATGCTTTAATAGTTTCCACCATTGTACAGCTTTTAAAGTACTTTATCTGTCCTAGCAATTGAAAAGCATGCTGAAGGCTGAGGAAGTAGTCTAAAGCTATGTGGATGTGCAAAGCAAGAGGGAAACTACAACATTACTATACCAAGAAACTTATCATTAAAGTCAACAATGTTTTTTTTTTTTCCACGCAGACCGTGATGAGAGCGACGTTGTGCAGAGGACCTGCTGCGTAATGATGTTGAAAGTACTTTATCAGTCTAGCATTTCTCAGCTTTCATGTACTTAACCGAAAACTGTAAAACATCTTCTTCTTCTTCTTCTATGCGTTCGCTGGCTGTAAACTCCAGCGGAAAGTTTTGGTTGTTGGTCCACCTCTGAACTTATAGTTTTTTTCGGAACCTGAGTGCTGCATGCACATCCGTTTAACAAATCCGACTTAATATATGCAAATTGTTGGTTCCTTGCCTATCAAGCAGATGCACTTCGACTTCGAAGGAAGCCCCTAATTAGTCGACTCTCACAACATGCTTGTATGGGAGGCAGTGAGTCTATTAGTGTAATACTGGTATCATCAGAAATTCAAATCTTCGCTTACTGCTGAAGATGGGGACGGAGCGCTTATGAGGGTGTCCCGAGTGCTGTGAGGTCGATTCTTAATTCAATTTGATAATCCTCCCGTTGACTCCTGTCGAACAGTAGCCATTATTAATACAAATAGTTGTCGGCGACAAATTGTCAGACACGCCAATAGATCAAAGGTCCCTTTATATACAATCTTTAGCTTCTTATCCGTCCAGAAAGCAATGGCAAACTACTATACGTAAACGTGCCTAGTAAAACCACAACAGCCAAGAAATGCTGTGGTTGGTTCTGCAACGTCCTGTAAAGGATACGCAACTCACTTAGCTTCTTAAACTCTTCTTCTTAAAGTCCAATCCTTTCGACATTGGTAGTCGTATCAATACATAACCTAATTGTTCGTGTACATTCATTCAACTCTGATACAGATGGTCCTCCATGCCGTGATGTAAAAACTGTCTAGCTTCTTTTTTTCTCGGTTTCCCTCTGCCTCTCTTCCCATACCACTTTCCTGCTGTCACGTTGTTACCAGTTTTCTCCTACTCATCACATGACCAAAGAACATTGTCTCTTTCTGACCTGTTCGGTCAGTTTTCTTCGTGGGTCAGTTTCTTTCCAGACATCTTCTTTCCTCTTTTTATTTGTTAAGTTATTCTCATCATTCGTCAATAAAACCACATCTCTGCAGCTTCCAATTAAATGTTCACTAATTTACCAACTGCTCATGATTCGCTTCCGTATATCAAGATAGGATTTATATAGCTTTCAAGAATTCTATTTCTTGTCTCATTTGACCATGAAAGATTACATACAATATTTTTTATTTTATAAAATGCTGCCTGTGCTTGAGCTATTCTACACTAAACTTTACAATGCTATTAGGGTAGGGTACTCACGTACTTCTGCATGGATTTTTATCGTGGTATGGGACGTCGCAGGTCGACCCAGTCTAAAATGGGTACCAGGATGGGCTGTCCTGGGAAAGTAAAGACGGCCGGCGTAATGATGACCACATTACCCACCGAGTGCTGACGGTCTGTAAAAATATGGGACGCTCTGCCCATATGCCCGATGCGCCGAAAGGCGTGAAATGGATCTTTACTTTTTTTTTACTTACTCACGTACTTAAAAATATCAGTTTGTTTGAAGGTTGTCCAATTTCTTTTTAAATAGTAAAACAAGGATTCTTGTTCTTCTTGTTAGTTAGGCCGTGTCAAGTGGAGTTAAGAGCGGATATCACAGTGTGTGTATGTTATATTAAATGTATATATTTACGTTCCAATATTTTTTTTTCAACCTTCAATCATACTTTGTATTTTGTTATATGCACATAATATGTTTGATAGATATAAGTTACAACTGTTGTACGCAAGTGACTGTCTGGAAGGTCTGAATGTAAGATGGGCCTCCATGCCCAATTTTTCCACCTTATAAATATAAAGTCTCTTTGCTGAGGTACAAGGTGGAAGAGAATAAAAATAATAATATTAATAATATTAATAATAATAATTAATAATAATAATAATAATAATAATAATAATAATAATAAGAAGAAGAAGAAGAAGAAAAAGAAAAGAAGAAGAAGAAAAAGAAGAAGAAGAAAACATAACGTTCTGTTGGTTAATTCCTTTTCTCTCTGTCCCCCTCGCTCTCCCCCAACAACCCCCCCCCCCCCCCCCCCCCACCCCCTTTCCGTCCCCTTACCTCCCTCCGTCGTTGAACTTCCATGTCATAACTTGTGTGTAGTGTGAATTCAAGTTAATAATAAGTTAGCAGATTGCCATGTTTTGATGTTTCAGTGAGTTTTCTCACTTGCTGGACTCCGACTCTTGTGGTCTTCGTTATCCACGGAATGTCAACAGAAAAGAAGCTCCCAAAGGTTGTACTGGCACTGCCACCTATCATAGGCAAGATGCAGAGTAAGGGTGACTGTTGAGCCGTTTTAAAACGATTGACACTTTCTATTATGAAGTTAAATGTCTAGTTCATTTGTTAAACTGTTCATAATTTTTATTTTTTTCCAGTTTGCAAATCGCTGTTTCAATACCTTGTTATAATTAGTTAGATAAATGATCAAAGGTCCCTTTCCCAGTTAATGGAGCCTCGAGAGTATTCTGCTACAGATGGATGGCACCAGGGTCATGAGGTAAACTAAATGTTTAGGTAAGGCTACCCTACCCTAGTCTGAGAAATGTTTATTTTTTTTTTGGGCACCTCGTTATACAAGATTCATTTTTTTAATGGGCACCCCATTACAATTGACTGGTAATTTTTTTTCTCACCCATTATAATAGATCCATATTTATCTTAGCACACCATTAAAATATACCAATGTTTTTATTGGCACCCAATTATAATAACCCCATGTTTTTTTAGCACCCTATTTTAATAGACCAATATTTTGTTTGACACCCAATTATAATAGACCCTCTGTTTTCGTCGGCGTCCTTTTAAAATATACCCATGTTTTTATTGAACAATAGGCATTTGACAAATAATTGGTCAACATCCCCTCAGCCACCATTACTTCCCAGCTCATTTCCAGGTACCTCTAACCGCAGGGTCGGCATGAGAGCCAAAATAATCAACTGAAAGAAAAGACAACCTCGATGCGGATTTGAACACAAGATCTTTGGTCCTGCAGGCTAGCGTCTAGACACTGTATTGCCACGTCTGTCGTTGTTATAACTTATAACAGTTAAGGATCCATATGGCCTATATTCGCGCATATGGTGCCGACAATATAACTGATGGTGAATGTGGTGATAGTCGCAGCCACCGTTGCGTACCACCTGGATGCTTGCCTGAGGATCCGATGGTGGTGGGTTCGGGTCCAGACGGAGGCGGACCTTTTTTCTTCTTCAAAAAATTACCTTGGCTCCCAGGTCAACCTTTTGTTAAATGGATACCAGACACAGGCTTAGAAAACAACAAATTAAATGGTATGACCGTTCAAGGCGGACGCAAACAACAGTACACCACAGCAATCAATTATGTAAAGAGCAGGCGAGAAGATAAGAAGAGGCCGACCATGTAAACTATGAACAGGACAAGCGAGTTACAGAGTACTTTGTAATCCCCATCGTCTCGACACTTTACTAACTGTCATTCAACCCCACCAGGATATCACAACAAGCGATAAACACTTGGTGACATAAGTGCAACCAATCGGATAAGGATCATCTGGGGATAAGTCCCAGAAACCTATTTCAACCCATAGACTTGGTTATATACATGCACCACTCTCGGGAAGCTCAGTCAAGAAAAAGTTCAAACTAAGCGTCTCTCCCAATAGAGACGGGAGGGGATTCATCCACGTCCAAAGCGGTAGTTAGGCCATTAGAATTTGGCTTCACTATCAATGAATCTCCCATCTATAAGGCTGAATTTAAATATATATATCATTCCCAAGAGAATTAGAATATAATTAATTACTTAACCTGACATCTTGACAAATAAGTACATAAGAAGGACTATATACGTATAGAGGAAAGTCCAAGATTGAAAAGTGCCCAATTTGCATAGAGGTGACAAGATATAGGCAGGTCCATGACTAGAGTGGTGTAGGCTGTCACGCGACAATGATGATGATGATAATGATCATGTAGACTTAATGCATCACAAAGAGGTTATTATTGTTATTAATATTATTATATTATTATAACACCACTGTTTAAATTACAGGTCTGCTGGATCCTATTGTCTACGTATCGAGAAACAAACAAATCAGAATGGCCGCCTATAAATGGTGCTGCAATAACGAAATCATCTTAAGTGAAGAAAATGTTATCAGAGCGTTAACAACGATTTAAAAATTAAGCTTATAGCGACTACAGACATTACCAAGAAATTCGTCTTCGTTGTCTTCAATTACAACTGTATGGGCAGTGTTTTTCCATGCTGTATGTGTGTGTGTGTGTGTGTGTGTGTGTGTGTGCCTACATTTAAAACTGTTTAGGGTAGTGTTTCCTTACTGTATGTGTGTGTGTATGTGTGTGTGTATGTGTGTGTGTGTGCGTGCGAGATGCTCTAGCTAAGCCTTTCAAAAATTCTTATGCTTCCTATGTAACACACACATATATAATGTAAAGTAAAGGACCCTCTACCTTGCTTTTAGGCTTATAGGGCATATAGGGCTAGACCTATATTTTTATAGACCAATCGGCACAAGATGGGTGATGTGGTCAGCATCACGCCAGCCGCCTCAACTTTCCGGGCCTGCACCCGGTACCCACTCAAGGCGGGGCCGACCTGGGAGCCAAGAACACACATATATAGTTTCTAATATTCACAAATTCAGTTGTTGACTGAAGAAACTTAAATGATAGGTTTTAGGAAGAAATCACTAAGACATTGTAGAGATTGTTGAGGAAACACAATAAGTACATTTTCAAAACATATGATTTAGAACTGGAATTCAAGTTCGAAATAATTTAAATGACATATTTTACTGTGATTTTTAAATTAATAATTATTATTTATTACTCACATTTAGTGAGAAAGACAATCTAGAAATACAATTAAAAAAAAAAAAAAAAAACATTATGACAAACAGAGGAATTAAAGTATTTGGAAGCAATTTTCACATCCGATAGAAAAATGGACAGAGAAATTAGCTCGAGATGTGCCAAAGCTAATCAAGTATTAGGGCAACCATCTTCGCTGTTGACACACAAGCAGATACCCAGGAGCACTAGAGTGAATCTTATCATAACTATTTTTTGGCCAACACTATGCTATCAGTGCAAGACGTGAAACTTAAATCCTCTAATAAACGTTAAATTGTAACAACACAGAAAATTGCCTCAGAAGAACTGCAGGAGTTTCAAGAAAAGACAGAAAACGAAATCACGAAATCAGACGAATGCTATGAGAAAAAACTTACAGGTCATCAAAGAACAAAAATAAAGTGGTCTGGACACGTAACAAGAATGCCCTGGCACTATCTGCCACAGGAAGCCACACTAAAACGTTACAACGGGTATAGAGCGGGCGGAAGAGTCTTAAAGTGAGATCCGTGCAATTGATGCATACTGCAAATAGATTTAATGTTAGGATCCAATTTAGTTAGCTCTGGTCTCAAGTCTTCCAGATGTGTTATATCCAGTCAATTTCTTTTTAATTATTTTTCTTTTTTGGCAGCAAATCATGTATACAACTAAATCCGCATTCCGCTGAATATGAAGATAGGGAGGTATATAGTTTCCTTGCAGATTTGGTTAAAAATGGATATTTGATTTCTGTTTCCTCACAAAGTCAAGTCATCGCTCCTTTTTTATTAAATTTCAACTAACTCATCATTTGGCATTTCTGCGAGTTTTTCTTGATACTTGATACTACATATTTGAAGTATCAGACAAATCCACTAACATTGTCTGTATCATTCAAGTTGGAAATTCAATTAATTTTATTCAAATCAGACGATAGACAGTAACAAGTATAGTTATATCAGTCACCTATCATTTTTAGAGCCAATAACAATTTTCAAAATTATTGTTGTAAATATATTTCTGAAATAATTCAATAAAGTTAATGAAACCTGATATCATCGATTTTGCATCGACAAGAGTTGTATTTGTTCATTGAGGTTGCTTATTCAGTATTTTAAGTGTTTGAAAGATGTCGGCTAAATAACTGACAAATGATTTGACTACCTGAAGGTTATTACGTAGGCAATCCAAGCTGAACGGGGAAACCGCCCGCTATGAGTTTTTTAGAGATGGTTTAGGCCGTTTTGGATCAAGAAGAGGAAGAACATAGACATTCTAAACGAGCTGAACATCAGGGAAAACTGGCTCATAAACAGCATCCTGTCCCAAAACTTCAAGTATTTTGGCCATATCAAGCGTCATGGTGGCTTGGAAAACATGGCGATGGAGAATGCAGTTTGGGGAAAGTGAGGCAGGGGTTGATCACTGCGAAGATGGATAGGGGACATTAAAGAAGCATTGGTATTGAAAGCACATGGGACCAGAGAGCTGGCTAGGAAAAAGGATACTTTCAGGTGTGCCTTGAAAAGAGCGACGTTCTGTTAAGGACTTGCTGATAAATGATAATTAGGCCGTTTGGGTTTCACCCCTGACTCGGTTTGTGATCGATCCCGGTCCCTTTAGCTAGATCAAGGCACCAGTGTGTGTCGTTATTCAAATTTCAATAATGGCATCAATATTAATGTTTATTTCCCAGGAAACTGATAATACTTAATTATTGCTTCGTATTTTAAAAGCGGTGAATAGCGCTTAAAATACTCAATGTGATAACATAAAAAACAGCTAAAACAGTAGCAGTATTTTTCCTGAAGAAGAATTACCTTTGATTCACCAGAGAATAAAGGAGAATTTCATAGGACTCAAGGAACAAGACTTGTAGATGGTAATCTATATAGTCAGCAAATTATTTTACACACTCAGCAAAATCAGTAAGCTTCAAATTTTTTGGTAATTAATGAGTAGATTAAGTTTTAAAAACTATCGCTTATAACAATTCAACTGAGAGGTGACCATTGTTAGAACGTGTTTTGAAATTATTTTAACATATGTATTACATTCCCAGAATATATATAATAAACTAAAAACAAAATTTGAGACAACAAACAACTTAGAGTGAATTAGGCGTGGGCTATATTGTTTACACAAGACCTTGTTCACCTTCATGATAGCTGTCAGACACCCAACTGATAATCATAGCTTGAACTTTAAAGCTCAGAGTATGCCTATTAACTTCTTTTTTCTTGTTCAATCTATCGCAATCATGGGTAATCACTGATGCTCCCATCACTGATGCTGCACCTTGCCCTAATCTACATTTCCCTTTCCTAAATTGTACACATTGATTCATGATCTAGTAATGTATAAGTGACTTGCTTGCGTGATGTGTATCTAAAGTGCAGAGATAATACACATTTGAAAAGTGATACTAGCCTTGGTACATAATATCGTCGTAGTTAACTCTCTTCATTATTTATAATCCTTCGGTTACAATATAAAAATAATTTCTGCTACCTCATATTTTCCCATAGCAATTAACACTCGAGTTTACTAGCATTCATAACTGAATGTCACAACAGCTCTTACACACAAGCATTCTCTTCAAAACCCAACACCGTTGAGTTACGGTGTGCGTCACTTTCACACCTTTTTAAAATTCACGTCTATGTTACAAAAACATCTGTTTTTCTTGCGTCAGTGAAATTTGCTGACCCTCTGCAGTCGTTTGAAAAACATTGTCAACTCCTTTATATTCATAGATCATACAGGGTTTTTCTTGTTTTTAAAAGGAGTAGAAAATTATAGGGAAGAGAAAAAGTTGGTAAGAAACAACAAATAGTTTATGTTAGCTTTACAAAATCGATCACAATAAACAAACAAAGGACGTTGCGGCGATTAGCCGTCATCAGCACATAAAGGACAACACGGTACACATACACAAATATGTTCTAACTATGAAGTGACTACATAGGACTCTAATGTATAAAATAAATTATACTCATCTGTGTCCCTGGCGAAAGAACTTCGTACAATGAAATGACTGTCAGCTTATATATCTCCAACGCGCAGGTGGGGGCGAAAAAAGGGGCGGATTAGACGCCAACAGTGTACACTGAGTATCTAAGGAGGGAGGGGTTGGCCTATAGGGCGTAACCGGGGTTGGGTTGTAGAGATGACATTGGTCCATCCGCATGGAAATAAAAGTGGTGCCTGTGCTTGCAAACAAATATCAGCAGACAGACAGACAAACTGACAGACAGACAGCTTGGGAACACCTTTATATTCATAGATCATACAGCGTTTTTCTTGGGAACTTCTTTACATTCATAGATCATACAGAGTTGTTTTGGGGAGCTTCTTTACATTCATAGATCATACAGCGTTTTTCTTAGGAACTTTTTTATATTCATAGATCATACAGCGTTTTTCTTGTGAACTCTTTTATATCCATAGATCATACAGCGTTTCTATTGGGACCGTTTTTCTTTATCTCTGTCTCTCACACGCACATACTCATGCACAGACAAACCCACGGTATCTTTCAGATGACTCCTAGTACATAAGAACGTCTTGTAATATTTTGCAAGACTGCACACTAGATAACTGCACATATTATATGTCATCCATGGCTGTGAATGTGTGAATTTCGACCCAGCCTAATGTGCGTGGGGTATATATATATTTATATATAGTTTAAAAATGTCATTTGCTTTACTTTACCTATATATATATATATATATATATATATATATATATATATATATATATATATATAGGTAAAGTAAAGCAAATGACATTTTTAAACTCCTTCCGGTTATACCCCTCTCCCCCCCCCCCCCCCACACATATAAATACACACCCATGGGCGCTAGAATCTAAGAGCTCACCTTCTGAAGCCCTCTTTTCAAAATTTTGTAAATTAAAAAAAAAAAAAAAGGGGGGGGGGGGGGGTGTGTACGTAGCGCCAGGTAAATCTCTGTTTCGAGAGTCACGGGTAAATGTTTTTAAGCTGAAGGTAAATCTCTATACTGAGAGTGACGGTTCAATGTCACCAAGTCCAGGGTCAATCATTTTACTGACAGTCACTGTTAAATGTCCTCAAACCAATTAATTGTACTTAGAAAACTGTTTACAATTAAGAACAATTAAGGCTAGGGTTGAAGTTCCTCCTCTCCACAGCACAAAACCGGGGCTGTATTTTACAGATTATATGTTGCTCATGCACCACTAGTGAGTTTTGACCAAAGCAGGCTGCAGAAGCTGCTGGATCAGAAGAGCAGTACTCTCTCTGTCTACCTGTCAGAGCTTCTCTCCTAGACCAGCTG